AAAGGAGCCTTGGCTAAGCTGGTGGAAGCCATCAGGACCAACTATAATGACAGGTTTGACGAGGTAAGACCCATCATCTGACCCCCCTCCGCTTGCCTGCTGCCCTTCCCGAATAACACAGCTGCTCGCTCAGAGGGCTCAATCAGCCCAGGCAATGGAAACAGCCAAGCTAACCCAGCAATCACCTTTCCTGTTTCAGATCCGCCGCCACTGGGGTGGCAATGTGCTGGGCCCCAAGTCGGTGGCCCGAATCGCCAAGCTAGAAAAGGCCAAGGCCAAAGAACTCGCCACCAAGCTGGGCTAGCTGTGCATGGCTGGTTTTTGTACATAATAAAACTAGTCCTTCAGTCTTGGTCTCTGGCTTCTTGGGTTGGGGTGTGCAGAGCTGGGGAAGCACAGGTGTGATGGTGTGTCGATCTGGTCTTGAACTGAGCCAGCAAAGGGAAGAGATGGAGGCACGTTTGTGTGAGGGGAGCTTTATTCATATCACCGGGCCTGGCACAAACACCTGGCATTGCACACTATTTTGGGGGGTGGGAGTGGTGTCATCTCAGGACCAGAGGCTTCCGACGCCCAAATTTCTTAAACCACATGTATGCCGTGGCTGCACACAGGCCATACCTTGGGAGGAAAGAGCAGGGTGAGCTTCCTCATGGTGGCAGGGGTGTGGAGGGGAGGAATTGGGCTTGAGCCTCACCAGGTGATGATGTACTGTAGGTGCTCATTCCGCAGTGTGACCCTCGTCTGGCCCCCAATGGGTCCTCCAGGGACAGTGCTCTCTGCAGGAAGGGCATCATGGCTCTCAGCCCTTACCCTCCCTGCACACTGAACAGATGGCGTGTCAGCCATAGGTAGGCCAGCCACCCAACACCAGGACAGGCAGGGCTGGGGGCGTGAGGGCAGTACATACTGAAGTCCGCATCTATGAAGATGGGGTCAGCGCCTGTGACCCTGGCCATGGCTTCCAGGTCCCGGTAATGCCAGTGATTCGTCTGAGGACTATTCTCGGGGACAAAGGGCTTCCTCTTCTCACTCAGCCTCACCATGCCTACCAGCTCCACCTCTCCCTCTATCTGCAAAGTGAGTGGACCCTGAGAAATGGGGTGGGGGGTGTTTCTCCAGGGGGCCCCCTTGCACACAGGAAAGGGGCCCTTACCTGGCCCTTCTGCCTGGTTTCTGGGTTCACTTTCCTCCTGGGGACGAAGCCTCTGTTGACCAGGATGGTAGTTCTAGAACAGTGGAGAGGTTGGTGAGCAGTGGGCAGCAGAGACGGCCTCACGAGGAGCACCTGTGCCCTGTCCCTACTTGGCAATGCTGCCTCACTTCATCGACCACTTGCCCCTGCCCAGCAGCTTTCACTGTTGTCCACAGCAGTGACCCTGGAGGGCCTGCCCACCAGAGGCAGGCAGCCACATGTCCCTTGGGAGAAGCGGCTTCTGAGGAGGTCAAAACCATGGCACCAATGCAAACCTGTGCCCTAAAGATGCCTCTGTGTGGCTCCAGGGCTTCCGGTTCTGCATCAGCTTGCTGGAAACTTCTGCATGTCCCAGGCTTCCTTCCCACAAGCTGTTCCTGCTGCCCCTCCCTTGGGGGAGCCTTCCATGCAGATTTGGGGGCTCATTTCCCTGGACCCCTAATTGTATGTTCACAAGCTGTTCAATAATAAGCTGGCCAAGATCAACGTTGCTTTAACATTACATCGGAACTGGCGATCTAAATTCACAAGAGGAAACTTTCTAGGTGAGAGCCTGGGGAGAACATGCACAGTGGGGGGCTCTGCCATAGAGGGAAACCAGTGAGCCTGGGCTCAGTGCCCTCCCCTGGCCCCTGTACTCACCCCAGGTCAGGGCAGTGGAAGGGGGTGATGACATAGGCACCGCTCTCAGCCGAGGAGCCAATCCGACCGGCCTCCCGCGCCTCCCGGGCTGGGTCCACCATGGTCCGGGGTAGCATGTACAGCTCCTTGGAGTGGTCAAAGCGCCCCCTGACCTTCACCGGCCTGTACTCCAGGCTGTTCAGCTCCACAGGGCTGGGTGCAGGAGCAGCAGAAGCAACACGTGAGGCCTGGCAGGAAGACTGGGCCCCAGGGTACAGAGGGACAGAAGCAGGTGTGCCCTCAATCGTGGATCCGGCCCCAACCTACGCAGGATGCAGATCTGGTCTGCCCAAGCATCTAAAATCAGTGAAACGCGCGGTCTTGTGGCTGCTTTATGCAACATGAATGGGATAGGGGAAAACTCCCTTTGCAAACCAACCTGACATCTGGCTGCTCCCCAAGCTGGGCCGCTCTCCCTCCAGAGCCCAAAACCAAACCCACTACCAACTGCAGAGAGCCTACAGGGGATTTTCTACGGCTGTGAGCCTTTAGGATTCATCAGAGCAGACAGCTTACCACGCAGTGGCTAGTGGGTCTGAACCCTGGCTTTGAGGTGAGCAACCGAATGGCTAACCCAC